AGCTTACAGATTGTCCTGTTCCCACTAGCATTTTGGAGTTGTCTAACACCACCTCCAACCATTGAGCCAATACTTTTTTTTTAGTGACTGTTAATAGAATGTCTNATTGTCCTGTTCCCACTAGCATTTTGGAGTTGTCTAACACCACCTCCAACCATTGAGACTTTTTTTTGAGTGACTGTTAATAGAATGTCCAAGTGGATGTTGATTTTTGAAAAATTTGGAAGAGAAGAAAGAGGACTACAGTGAAGAACCTTGCAGAAACCCCATACTTGTTTCATTCTGAAGGCTTTCTGAACATCAGAGAACTTCCTAATTCCGAGGTCACCTTCCTCCTTTGGCATAGTAATGTCATCCCAGGAACATCAATACTTCTTGCGACCATTGCTTGAACTAGACTATAGGAAAGAAGCCATAATAGAATTAAGCTTAGCAATAATTCCCTTAGGCAGATTGAAGGTTACTAGCAGATGCACCGGCAAGGAGTTAAGAACTGACTGAATAAGGACCACTCTACCCATATTGGAGAGCAATTTGGCATACCAACCTTCCACTCTAGCTTGGAATTTTTTCAACAAGTCCTCAAAATAATGCCGTTACTTTTTCTCAATTAATTAAACAATTAAGTGTGAGAACCACTTTTAATAAGAACAACCCAAATTGGCCATGGAGATTGATGTTATGAATTTGTTAATTTTTCAATTAACACTCAATCTCACACGATGATCCCAACCAAGACAATAACAACCAATAGAACCACTATTAATAATTTTAAAGTTAAGCAATCAAAACATCAAACACATAGTGCGCATGTGTGCATCAATTGCAAGTGTATAAGCAAATAAACAATAAAGAGACACCAGCAAAATTGTTGACGCAAAAATATGTCAATTACAGAATAAGACATTTTTCATGCCCCTTATGTGCATGGTTCATATCAGGCGTCTAAGGGTCTGAATTTTATAGTGGGAAGCTTTAAAATCAGGTTTGGATAGTATCGTAGCCTAAATATGATTTTGATATGCTGAAGTCACGTTCACTACCTAATGCGGCAAACGAGTAAGAAGCGAGGGCGAGTCCCCAATAGTTTATCAGACCTATTCTTGCAGGCCTTGCTTGAGCGAATATTGAGCTCTAAGCGAGCGCTAGCATAGTTCAAGGTCGCAGTATCGACTATCGACTTAGAGAGCTCAAGTCATGTTGCGGTGTTGCGGAGCCGTATCAGTTGATTCGATGATGACAACTCGACGACTCAAGATTGACTCGGATACAATACAAACGACTTGACCAAGTCTATATGTATCGTGTAACGGTATCGTCTCGGCAAGTACCGAATTAAATACGACTCGACCGACTCGTATCGGTATCGGTCGATATTTTGAACCATGAGCGCTATCAATTGAAATTTTTTCTTGTTCTATACTCGAGCCTTAATCTGCGTTGAAAAAGCACGTTTTTCATAAAAAAAGTCTAAGAATAAGTACACATCANTTGAAATTTTTTCTTGTTCTATACTCGAGCCTTAATCTGCGTTGAAAAAGCACGTTTTTCATAAAAAAAGTCTAAGAATAAGTACACATCACGAAAATCAAGTTTCAAATTAATTTTCTCAAATTAATTAATTTTAAGCTCGTGGTCAATTGAGATATCTAGCTCAACTTACCCAACCTAACTGGTGTGTAATTGCTATGAGTTTAGCTTGAACATCATCATAGATATTCAATCCAGTTTTTAAGTCATGTTGATGTCAACCGACCAGTCTTCTTTAATCTTCAAAAAAATTAGACCTAGCTTCAACCAACTTGACATATATATTCCTCATGGAATTACACCAATCACAAAAATACTTGTACCAAGTCCTTAAATTCGGGTTAAAAATCAAATCAAAATAAAACTTGAAGTTTGTTCAAATGAAGCCAATCAAACGTAGAAAATCCCTAAACTTCAAGACCTTGTGGATCATTCAATTCTTGTGACATAGCTGAACGACCTCTGTGAGCATCCTTGTAATCTCCGTCATTATTGCTCTCTCCATTAATACTCACGCGTGGCAATTTGATTAAACAATTCGCGCAATAATCCGATTGAAATCGACTTACAACAATTTCTATTCAAATTGTCTCTCATGTTCAAATCGTTACTACTAATAAGCAATTTCTGTTCAAAGTCATTTTTCCCATTGAGATCATTATCTTTGATAATGGTGGTTGAGGATCTTCAACGATTCCCCACAAAGTCAAGTCTAGATTTGAACTAGAACAAAACTCTAAAACCCTAACCCTAATACCTTTGATCCAGATGGAGATTGGGCGAGGGGGAGAGAGAGAGCGAGCGCTTTGCAATTGTTTTTTCCTTCTATGGACGTATATGTTTTCTTTCCCTTTTTGAATATATGTGATCAAAGGTACAAGTGTAAATCTAACATATTTTTTTTAAGCAGATGATTATCTTGATCACTGTTCAAGTGTTTGCTTTAGTTTGTGTGTTATAGGCTACCGCCAAAATAAACCGATTCTGTTATTTTTGAATTGTATTAACAAGTTTGAGGGTTTAAGAAGTCTATCTGCAACTACCCCAGAAGTCAGGGGGTACTTTGTAATTAACTCTTCTTGATTTCACCTTTCAAAAAGACTCTTACTTGATTTTGAAAGAACATGCATATACATGTTAAGATTGTATTTATATTTATGTTTACTTATCATTAGGGGTACCCCTAATGATAAATAAACATAAATATAAATAGTCTTAACAATACACTCTCTTCTTTGCAGAATTAGAAGGACCTCGTGTAATGCACAAACTAACTTGCACTCGTATTTAAAATAGAATCAAGCTACACACAAAGGTTATACATGAAATCAAGTAAACCTATTTCAATAAATCAACATTCAATAAAAAAGCACTTAAAATATTCAAAAATTAATGTCTGAGTGTTTGTAGACTACCTTGTAAATTAGTTCGAACCTGTGCAATGCACAGCGAAGTATGAATTCTAAATATATTGTACAGTTAAATTGTATCACCGCAACATGATTAAAAAATCATTGCATAGGTTCCTTTTAATATCTACATAATAAAAAAAATGAAGTCACTCGTACAATCAAAATCCGCATAACAAAATAAAATTTGCTAAAATATTACATGTTTCAAGTCAATTTTGTGATATATGACATTAAAAATCATCACCATAGAATCCCTAAATAAAATCCCTTATACTATAAGAAAATATAACTTTACCTTCTTAGCATATTTTCAGTTCCATCCAATCAATAGTAGCTGATGGCAATAACTCAAACTTAAAAAAACTTCGACAATTAGACAAATATATTATTTAATGTGGTAGAGCTTGTAAACATAACATATTGTCTTTGAGTCATTGGCAGTTGTAATTCAAGCTTAACAAAGATTGATTAATTAAAAGGATTAGAACAAATGGAACTGCTAATAATTAAAAAAGAAATGTTGGAGATGTGCAATAGTTTAATATTCTTTTCTCAGTAACAAATCTATTTACCAACTGCAAATACTTCGGGGTAGTAAAAATTGTGGATGAAACATTAGCAACAATTTGTTAAATTGTATGTTTCACGAAGTCTAAAATATTGTATTGCATGAAAATAATGTTGCAAGAAGATCAACTTAAAATTTATAACAGCACTGCTGAATAATGCATCTCCAATTAGTTTCATCAAGAACTACCGAACAATCAGTAGCATAACAAACTTTAAAGAAAAAAAGGAATAGAATGAGAGAGAAACCATTTATTTTAAGCTCAAATCAATAATAAAAAGAAAAAAGTAAAAACATTATACCATTATTGACCGAGTCCAGAGGACATCAATGCCACCTCTACCCATTCCTTTCAATCATCCAAAAAAATGTTGTCCTTGCGAGGTTAAGGAGCCAGCCAGATATACATGGGAAGTGGTGAAAGATAAGTGATAATGATTTGTTTTTTGAAATCGGATAGATATCATAGGTCTTGTTTTTAAATTGAAAATTTTAACTAACACTTGAGATGAGATGGGAAGGAGATAGAGGATGAGGAGGTAGTGGATGTGTGGGATGGGTGGTAACCTTGCAGTTATCCAATTATTGATTAGTGGGGAAAAGAGTTATCCTTATCACTAGCAAAAATTAAACTTATTTAATAAAGGATAAAAGAACCAATAGAAATACACCACATAAATTTAAATTAATATTAAACCTAAAAATCTAGAAAATTAGGATGAGTAGATTGGAGTCTTGGGACTGATTGTAGATACATTCTTTTAGTACATAGAGATACTATCAATTCTGTCCAGACTTGATTGTTAATTATTGATAATGATTTTTGCTGCCTAAAAGTTAAAATACATTGGCTTGGTCGAATTAGTTTGTGCCTTTGTAGATTTTCACTTACTTTCCTTATTTCCTGACGATACCATTAAAATGCTTACGAGTTTTAATGGCATACAACAATTGGATTAGCTACTAAAAAAGAGAGCTATTTGTTCAAATGACTGATGAACTTGTGAAATCACTTTTTGAGACTGACCTTTCAACTTTTTGAAATGAATGTAAATTCCTCATTATTTTACTGATTAGTTAGTTTGTCGATGGAGTTGATACTGATTTATTATGGAGTTGATTCTGATTTTTTGGTGCATATTTTTCCTCCCTTGGTGGCTCTTTATGAAGAAAAATTTTACACTCAGTAGTTATAGTTCTATGCTCTCCCGTATCCTAACTTATCGAAGATGGAATAAGATAAAAGAACTGTTCTCTTTATATTTAAAATAACTAATTGAATAAGTAAGTGTTTCGAAGGGCTTACATTTAATTACCAAGATGGAGGGAAGGGCGATGGGGAGTTAAACCTTAAGGTTTCAGGCTTGGTGCTCTTCCTGCTTTGTCTCTGTTTTGTATTTGTCATTTTGTGTCCAAAATGTAGAAAAATCAAAATCCCGGTGGAGAAGTGGAGAACTGACTTGTGTTGTCCTTTTTTCATTTTGAGAAGATATATAGGGAGTCAACAGGGACTGCTTCAGTGGACAATGCAGGCTATGGAGATCCTGTGCAGAAGGCAGAAGCAATGGCATTTCGTCGAGCTTGCGCTCGGTTGGGACTGGGCCTTCATCTTTACCACGAGGACATGTTGTAGTGAAGCACTATATGGATCTGTGTTAAGCAACGGAGCTCAACGGAAGATTCTTTGATAAATTTTGTCGATCCCTCATTTCTTTTTCTTGTTGGAAGGGTTCTGACTAGCATATGTCGACTGAAAATTGAAGAAGCTTGTTTCTTCGAATATAATTTTGATTTTAGCATCAATATCTGTAAGTATTAGTCTTAAGAGGACTGATTTTGGTATTGTGAAATATGTGGAATAGAAAACTTATCTTACTCTCATGCTTGCGCAGAAATCTTGTTTTAGTTACCCTCCATATCAGTTATACGAACTTTTAGAGGTTGGACCTAGACTTATAAAAAGTGATGAGTCCAAAATCAATGGAGTCAAGCCCAATAAATCAAGAAGGCCTAAGTCAATTAAAGGGCGACCCAGGCCTGCTTTGCTAGTCTGACCTAGTTCAGGATCCAAGAAGCTCAGAGAGATAGGAGCACGTGGAAGAAACTTTTAGGATACGCACTTATGGAAATTCAATCATATCTTGATTATACTTACCAAAAGAATAGTGTTCTTTCCCTCAAGTCATCGCCTCATTGTCTCACTATACCTATATAATGTAATCTCATTGTAATTCTCTCGGAGCATACTCTCCAGGTTACTTTATTCATCAATAAACACTTTCGGTCACTGTTGCCATTTCTCGAGAGGAGTAGGTTATTCGAACTGAACTACTATATATCTGTGTGTTTGTTCTTCTTTACTGTTTTGTCATTGATTATCTTATTTTATTTCTCATTAATTGTATCTCTTTATATACTCGACTGTTGATCTTGTATGAGATAATTTTGTACATCATCAGTTTAGTGTTGTCTGTGGAAAACAACTTAGTTTTCTACTATCTTCTAATTCATGGCAATTATGACTAGATTGATGACAACAACCCAGTCCACTGGGAGGAGGCTCCGCCTCCCCTTGCACCCTCGGAACCATTTGTTACGGCTACTTCCGTCGTCGGGCAACAACTCTTACATGTCATGTAGTTGCTGGTAAACCAGAACCAACAAATCATTCGGTTGATGCTCGCCCAGGGAAGTGTCGCCCTTCACCTTGTAGGAGGAGCCCCACTCCCTCTAACGGGAGAGGAACAACAACTTATCCACTCTAGGCGCCAAGCAGTCCTCTACCATGAGGCCCCTCGCCAGAATGCCTCAAGGCCATGTCAGGGCGCCCTTGTCCAGCAGTCACTCCTCAACGCGCAGAAAGCTCACATGTTCCCCCTCCTCATGTACCTGTGCAGGAGGACGAAGGAGAGAGCCAATATAGCGATCTTGGAAGCCAGTACGACCACCTAATGGAGGATGTCCCCAACCAATGGGACGAGAAGATTAGAGAAGTGCAAAACCAACTCGGTGTTGCCCTCAATGCCATCAAGGAATAGGCGCCCAAGACGATGGATTACCTGGTAAGACGCACTAATATACCTTTCGTTGCGGATATTGTCAATTATCCCTTACCTTCGAAGTTCAAGATGCCTGCCATCAAGATCTTCGATGGTACCGAAGGCCCCCTCGATCATCTGGACACCTATAAATCTCTTATGTAACTCCACAACGTGCTTGATGAGATTATGTGTAGAGTCTTCCCTACCACCCTCAAGGGACCTGCTCGCTAATGGTTCGCAAAGATCAAACCCTCCTCTATCCACTCCTTCGCAGAGCTGAGTAAATCCTTCGTCTCCCACTTCATTGGGGGACACCGACATTACAAGCCTGTTACACACCCACTCACCATCAAGCAGGACCGAGATGAAAGTCTCAGAAGCTACCTCACTTGTTTCAATGAAGAGGCCCTCCAAATTGAAGAGCTAGACGATAAAGTAGGCCTAGTCGCCTTTATCGCGGGTCTGTGCTCCTCTAGCTTTTTGTTCTATGTCCTCAAGAAGCCACCATCCAGCATGCCCGAGTTGCTGTCAAGGGCACAAAAGTATATGAACGTCGAGGATATCATCCAGGCCAGACAAGGTGAGTCCTTCCATGGGGGCGAGAAGAGGAAGGACACTTGTGAGGACAAGCGAGAAGCAGAGAACAAAAGGAATAGGACAGAGAGAGTCTCTGTCAAAAGACCGCCTTGTTCCCCCCACCTCTAAGAGAGTGACAAGCCTTCACACCGCTGAATGCTTCCATGGAGCATATTCTATTTCAAATACAAGATGATCCTATAGTACGCTGGCTAGAGAAGATGAAGACCACCTCGAACCGGAGAAGCCCGAACAAGTACTGCCATTTCCACCGCGACCACGACCATGATACTGACGATTGCTTTGATCTTAAAAGGTAGATCGAGGAGCTCATACAGCGTGGCCACTTGAGGCAATACATTGCTGGCAGATGACAAACTCCGTCACCTGGTCGACACTAGGATGACAGAGAACGCCAGCAACCCCTTGAAAAAATTCAGACGATCTCTTGAGGCCTAGGAGAAGGAGGTGACTCGAACTCCGCCAGGAAAGTCTTGGCCCACCTATGGGACACCAAACACTTGAAGATTTTATCTATCATTTATTGTTTCTATTGATTTATTTTGTTATTTATTATTTTATGAAATAAAATTTTGCGAAGATTATTGTGTCTGAATTGTCTTGTTTTCTTAAAATTTATAAACAGCTTACAAAAGTCAGATTGTGACCTAACAATAAGTTAGACAAAAAAACAATAGTCATCATACTCCCGATGATCAGTTACTATTCCACGAGCCATAACCATTATCATTAAGTCTCTCCTTGTCAATAACTATTACTAGTGTCTTATAGGAAACGAAACCAAAAAAATCAATAGTGGCCCTCTCAATAGGCACCCAGCACCAGGCGCCTGACCCTCTCAGCAGGCGCGTGACACCAGGCACCCAGCCTCGAGCGCCCAGTTTCTTAGCGCTCTTCTCATCTCCATGGAATGAGCCTCTGCCACGACAACCTTCTCCCGAGACTATACGTAGCTCGGCCTCAGCTCCGACGGCCCTTTCACAGAATGTTTGCAGCTATGACTCTACTCTCGCGCAAGTAGTCACCTTGTAAGTCTCAGCCATGGTAGCCTTGCCCGAGTTATACGTGGCTCGACCTCAGGTCCTGTGCCCCTCTCATGGGACGTTTGCAGCTATGACTTTGCTCTCACGTAAATAGTCACCTTTTAAGCCTCTGCCACGAAGCTATCTCCTGAGACTATACGTAGCTCGACCTCAGCTCTAGCGACTTTCTCATGGGACGTTTGTTGCTATGACTCTGCTTTCGCACAAGTAGTCTCCTTGTAAGCTTTTGCCACGACAGCCATCTCCTGAGATTATACGTAGTTTGACCTCAGCTCCGGTAGCCCTCTCACAGAACATTTGTAGCTATGACTTTGCTCTCACGCAAAGTAGTCACTTTGTAAGCTTCTACTACTGTAGCCATTTCCTGAGATTATATGTAGCTTGACCTCAGCTCCTGTGCCCTCTCACGAGAAATTTGCAGCTATGACTTTGCTCTCGCATAGGTAGTCTCCTTACAAGCATTTGTTATGACAGTCATCTCCAAAGACTATGTGTAGCTTGGCCTTAGTTGCTATGGCCCTCTTACGGAACGTTTGCAGCTATGACTCTGCTCTCGTGCAGGTAGTCTCCTTACAAGCCTCTGCTACGACAGCCATCTCCCGAAACTATACGTAGCTCGGCTTCAGCTCCTACGACCCTCTCACGGGATGTTTGCAGTTATGACTCTGCTTTCGCGCAGGTAGTCTCCTTACAAGCCTCTGCTACGGTAACCATCTCCCGAGACTCTATGTAGCTCAGCCTTAGCTCCTGCGGCCCTCTCACGGGACGTTTGCAACTATGAATCTGTTCTCGAGCAGGAAGTCTCCTTACAAGCCTCTGTCACAATAGCTCTCTACCGAGCTATACATAGCTCTGACTCTACTCTCGCACAAATAGTCTTTTTACCAGCCTCCAGCTTCCCGGCTCTCTCGTAGGATGCCAAAAAAGCTCAGTTTCAAGAGGCATGACTCTCTCATGAACAAGCTTCAATTACTCCTCAACAGTCTCTCAAAGCCTGCGTCTCTTTCACCAGATTCTTGGATGCCTCTTATAGTTTAATCATTCTTGAAAAGAGGCAAGGAAAGGCATCATTCATGTACAATAGTCCAAAAAGCAGAACATAAAGAAAAAGAGAATCCCTCCATCATGGTATTGATAATGCCCTGATATCCCTATAAGTCACAGACCTCCCAAGTTGCTCCTTGACCGAAATTACATTGAAGCATCGACATCGAGCCACTACTAGAAGTAACACAGTTATGTAGAGCTACAGTCCCCGTAGAAGATTGCATTGGAATTACAACTCCTACAATGGTACAAGGGCCAGCTGTAGTACACACAGGAATCACAATTTAGGAAGAAGGGAAGGAATGGGGACACCTAACCTCGGACCTTGACTGAGAAGCACTAAGGGCATCAAACCTCGCCCTCTTGGGAGGAGGGGAAAACACCACCCTAAAAGCATAGAGAATATCCACCATTGCCCTATCAATAGGGCGTCTATAATTAGAGACAATGTCGGTATCGAGAAAATATTAAAGAGAAAGTAGGATTGGAGAAAGCGGGTTCGCCTACTGGGCACCACTTTACTAGGCGCCTCCCTACCGGGCGCTTCCCTACCGACCTACTAGACATTTCCCTACTGGCCTACTGGGCACCGCCTCCCTACCGGCTTACTGGGTGCCACCTCCTTACAGGCCTACTGAGTGTCGTCTCCCTCTTGGCCTACCGAACGCCTCCCTACTGAGCGTCTCCCTACCAGGCGCCTCCCACTTGGCCTATTGGGCACCGCCTCCCTACCGGGCGCCTCCCTCTTGGCCTACTGGGCGTCGCCTCCCTACTGAGCACCTCCCTACGTAGCGCCTCCCTACTGGGTGCCTCCCTACCAAGTGCCTTCCCCTTGGGTGTCCCACCAACGACTTGGGCGCCTTCGCCAGCGTCTTGGGCGCCTCAGTAGCCCATCTCTCTCCTACATGGGTGCCGCCCCATCTCTCTCTCATGGGGCGCCGCCCCCTCACCTCTCCATTAGGGAATCTTCTCTTGGAACATCGTCTATTGAAGCTCTCTCCACCAAATCCTTCGCAGTTGATTTGACGTCAGCCAGCGCCCCAGCGCCAAGCGCCAATGCCTTGGGCACCACCTACCTCTTGGGAGCTGCCCAGCTCTCCATCTCTTCTTTTTAGTGGATTATGGGGTGNAGCTCTCTCCACCAAATCCTTCGCAGTTGATTTG